TTTCTCCTATGAGAAATAAGGATGATTTGGCTCCGAGAAGATTAAATTAAGGAATAAGATCTCAAGTATTACATCGGCTTTCCAAAGATAAGAAGTTTTTACTAGCTCGTTTGGGAAATATCTGCAGAAGTTCGCAGAACTTCAGATTTTTTCTGAAATGTTCTGGGAATTTCCATTGAGAGACTATAAAAGGACATCATGCAATCATATGTGCATAACATATCTGAAAGCAGTTTTTTAGCCTGATCAAAGTCTTCAAAACCAAGTTCTTCCCATAAGTTCCGATGGGTTTCAAAAGATAATCAGCCGGATTCGAACTAGTAAAGATTTACGAGTTGAAAAACCATGCGTAAACTAATGGGTAGTGTCCTCATATAGCAAATCCATGGAAACTTCAATAATAATCCGGAAAAGAACCGGAAAATTACGAAATTTTAGGCAGATACTTTCCGAGATGTTTGTCTGATAGGATCAGAAAATGGAATAATTCAATATAGAAAGAAAAATACTGAAAGAAGTCTGCTATCAAAATACCAGATCAAGACAAAAAGAAAGGATTAGGATGAAAATGAGTAAGTGTGAGTGCAGTGTCAGGTGTTTCCAATCGCAACGACCACCCTGATTAAACAACGCGACAGGTTAGTAAATAACAAATCAAGTAACTATCAAAGATATGTAATTAAGTCTGAACTTTGATTTCTACATAGATGCAAGCGGATTTTCCAGTTATAGCTGGATGACATTGAAATTTGATCTCGGGACGTGGCACGGTTGCTATGGAGAGTTGCTACAGCAAAGGCCACACAGGCCTTTATGAAACCGAAGATGAAATTATGTGTATCATCCTGTATACTTTCGAAATTGACGAAGTTGCGCCCCCTACTCTGAAATGTGAAGGAACTGGGAAGACTGAATTCGAAGCAATGGTCCTTTCCGAGATCCCTTAGGGTTTCTGGTTGAGCTGAACTCTTCGAAATTTCGATCAGGTTTCTTCGAAAAAGGCCTCTGTTTTCATCCATTGATTTGGCAGTATCAATCAACTCGTTCATTGATTACTACTTACTTACTTACTATTACTTATTGATCAGTCTAATACATATAGCNATCGCGTTATGGCTTCACACTCCTCACGAGAAGCTCGCCCTGCCTTTCGGCTCCGATATCCTGCCGACCAATTCAGTGGCCGTATTCGGTCCTAAGGAAATGACCTATGTTTCTAAGTATCATATCGGCAAACTCAAAAGCAGTCGTTAGATGGTGTTAAGATTTTGTCGATACATCCAAGTGAAAACAAAGAAAAAACGCGGAAAAAAGTCGTTTGGACGCCAAACGGCTGGTGGAATCAGTGCTAGACCTTGAAGAACATAAAACATTTCATCCATGACTTTAGAAACCAGGGTGTAGAAAGCACATCAAAGGAGGGGCAGGTTGGAAACGAAGAGGAGACATCACTGGGACAGCCCTGAACATAAAACACCATCCTGAACCAGAGACCAATGGATTGATAGCACTGCGGAGGCAGGACTTCCTCGAAAAAGTTCGTAAATCGTTCTATTACCTATTCACAGGTCACAGAACGATTCCTATGAAATTAATCCAAATCAGCTGAATTTTCTTTGGTTCCTTGGCACGGGTTCACAGCGTGGAACTCCAAGCAATAGTAGGTTTCCAACGAAATTGCGACTTCCTTAACTTTACTTGAAGAGAAAAAATTAGAACCACTCAGATTTCATGGACAGTACTCAGCTTTTGAATTACCTATGGGAAAGGTATTCTGAAATACTGAGAAGAAGACGAAGAGTTAGTCACACTGAGTTCGATCGTTCCCCTATTCGGGAATCTTACCCAAGGGTGTCATCAGTCGCTGCGCTCGTTTCTAGGAGATGGAAAGAAAAACCTTCATATTGCCCATCCCGACCCTGAGTGATGTCAAACAGTTGGGCTTCATCCATTAAATAATATTAATTCTGCCCTTTTGTTATCTACTGCCCTTGATAACCAGTAATATAGGCTTTCGAAGATAGTTCCTGTAAATATCTAACTGGAACTGGAACAGAACAAGTGAATTGACTGCATATAACCTCGGAACAACCAACAGAAACTGAGCCAATGTGCCTAGACTATTGATCGTAAAATCTGTCGAATCCACGGTCGAACTTGTTAACTTAACAGTTTCCTGAACTTTCTAGTTCATCGATCGATTGGTATTTAATGTTTTACATGGATTCCCAGATTACGTAAAATGTAAATAAAAGTTGAAAGGAGGAAGAATAAGGAAGGGAACCTATGAGGTTGTCGCAACGATCCCTGATCCCAAGAGCAGAACTGGTCGAGAAGATTGATTGACTCGGATATTGCCATCTGGACCGGACAGGAATGGTTCCGAATAGGGCTAATAGGCGACTGGTGTTGGGGGGCAACTAACTGAACTGGACGGGCGTCAAGGGTCGATAGATACATGGGACGTGACCGACCAAATCGTCAGTGACAGGTGTTGACAATTGGGCTGGATCACCACAGAATCTCATTATCGCGTCATCATACTAAACATCGACCGGGAGGGAACATTTACAGGGTTTACAAATCAAAGCTGAACTAATAAAATACGCTTTTTGAATTTTTAATTCAGTTTGAATTATGTTTATGGTCTCATCGGGCACAGAAGTGAACAGCCAGGAAATCGATAACGATTACCATACAAACTTGATTAGTAAACTTTTTTTATCATACAAAATCAAGCATAGAACAAATGAAATAATAAAGCAAATCTACTATTAACCAACAGGCATCAACCATGCGAGAAGTGATTCCTTCCATAGTTAGCTATGGATTCATGCACGCTCTGGAAAAAACGTCGTTTGGCCACGCCCCGAGATTTCTACTGGATTCTATTGCTAAAAATAGATTTTGGGCATGGGGAACTTTACAATTTGGACAGACCCGGTCTGAATATTAAGACCCCCCCCCCCCCCCCCCCCNCATGATTCTACTGCTAGTTCTTTTGCTTCTGGATTCCCTACTGGCTGCTGCATTCTGCTACATTCCTTCGCGCGCGGCGTCTCTCTCGCCGCAACGCGACGTTTTTGTTCCGACTGCACCACAGCCGGCTAGTATGGATATTATGGTGTTTGTATGATTGTAGACTGGGCTCGGCTTGTAGTATGATAGTCAAATGTGCAACCTTGAGGTTGAGTGATTTAACAATTACAAATGTTATAAAAACCTATTCAAGCTGGGTGACCCCAAAATAGACTCTGTTGACGGTCATGTAGCCGGAAAAGATCGATCAAACTAGCTCAAAGTACAAAGATGAATTCAGCTGCACCAGTGTAATACATCAGAGCGATGCTGAAGGGAAAAAACTCAGAGTAAAGTAACGAGAGTTATCCTTGAGGGGCACGTATTGCGACAAGTCAACTAGCCATGACAGCGCCCAAACATGGCGGCCGACGAGACAACTAGCTAAGAATCTTCGCGAGCGATGAATTGAACGGGCAGACACCTCAGAAAAGAGATAACTTGCATCAGAATCTGCGCCGAAGGTGAACTTTGGACTGAATGGTGGCAGCTTATTTATACTCCATCGTATCTACACTAGACAATCTCCGAAGGAATGATTGTACACAGGCTGTTGTTTGGGACAGAACAATGTTATCAACCAAATACTTTATCTAAAATACAGTGATATCATTCAAAAACAATAAGTTTAATGACCTCCTGCAACAAAGAATCATTACTTCCGGATAAACGGGAATGATAATGGAAAGAGATTTTACTCCTTGCACAAATTATGAGCTTTTTTTCGGGAAATGACCAGGATTTAGGGATAGTCTTATCAAGAAAATGTTCAGGTGTGCGGCAGAATACCTATGAGCTCACAACGTGCGGTATTTCTTAGCTAGCTGTCTCGCCGTGAAGAATACCGTAGTCAATTGGCTAGTTGTCTCGCGGAGCGGTGTGCAATTGTACTGAGTATATATCAAACGAACTAGATGAAAGCCGATACAATGATTACGTTTACAATACTTTTTAAATATTAAAAATTGGGTTGAATGCCGGTGAAGAGCGAAGTGAGATCGAGGTTATGACACTGCATGAAACTGAAATTATCCTGTCATCAGCAAAATTTGGCATTCCGAAAGACCGCTTGGCAGTGCATAGTGAGACCCAGTGATGACTGCTGCTCCACAAGACTTGCCCATACCTTCGAGGCTTCATCAGAAAATTCCTGTTTCACTTCTCTAAAACACACAACAGTTCAGTATCAACCAATTACACCAAAGTTCAGTTGGAACAAACGGTTCAGTCTCGAAAATATTATAAATGAATCATATTCAACGTCTTGAATTGAACAGCAGACGTGCAAATCAGCATAGGGTGCATCATAATATGCTCATAATTGATTGAATGTCTCACTTTGTATACTGTCATATGATCAGAAACGATTGACCCTTGGCCCCAGAGACGCGCCACGAACTAGTCCGCTATTCAGAATTGGAATAGCGTTTAAACGTGCATCTTGCATATGCACTAGTCAAGTGTGCAAGCCAATGTGCAGGCAAGTATAATACATATTTTTACAATCCATAATGAATTTTGCATCAATTAATAATCAGCTGTGACAGGAATGTTGCTCAGTCCGAGCCGATTCATTTAAGGATTGGGCCGTGATCACGTATATGGTAAGGTAACCTGCGCTCCCTACCTTTGCGCCACAACTATAGCAAGGAGAATCTGAATATGGTTTAGGAATAAGCTTTTTCCTTTCACATTTTCCCTATAATGTAAAATTGGAAAGGCTCCCGTCATTCATGGCTCATTTAAGACAGTCTAATGTAAAACTGTTATCTCTGGTTCTACTTCGGAAGATGGAGCAGGCGTGTAAATCACCCGCAGTGGAGCACAGAGCATCTATGATTGGATATCACACGAGTCCACCAATCATGGCCCTCTTGCACAATAACTCGCACGCCCCGTGCTCTTCTTAAGCATGATGGCTGTTAGCAGCAAAATGGATGAAGATCTTTTTTGATCATTGGATCAGTCAAGCATTTCCACATGAAATTTCCACAGAAAGATGACTCATTGCCTCTTTTCGAGTCCCTAGTGAGCAAGCATAGAGCGCTGATCAATAACATCGCTTTGAACTCTTTTTCAGTAGCTCACAAAACGTAAAAGGACATCAAAGAAGGTGATTCAGTCAACTCACACCACGCCGTGAGCAGTCTTCCTTTTGTGGCTGTCAAATTTGAAAAATGGGCGAGAAGTTTGATAGAATATCAGAGCTTGTGTATCATCGGTACGGTCCGTGAAGACTTTCTCAAGAGAGAAGTTATAGTGGTCCTCTTTAATGGAGACTGGGTCGGTCACCTGTAATTACAAGTAATATCTCTCATTATTAGAAATGATCAGTTTGAGAAACTCACATTTGTTGTCATTGAACAAGTCTGATTACTGCATGAGTCAAGCATTTCACAGGCCTTGTCGTTAAGTTCATTTGAAAGATTTATAATAACTGAAGATACTCTGTCCGCTGGGAGTACCATAATACGAGATTTCATCTGTAATTGCTATTTGTTGTTTGAACGCAAGAGAGAGAAACCTAGAACAGAAATTCTGCTCTTCCTGCTGAACAAATTTTCAAAACAAAGTGAACTAATTTCATTATTTCCAGAAAAAAAATGAAGGTATCGTATTTATCTGACTTTAAACTCTCTTTATCAGTTTACCAATTGTCCATTGAAAAGAGAAATATTATACAAAAATTAGCCACATCCGTCAGCACTTTGAAGGGGAAGCGCCCAGCGCCAAGAGTAACCCCGCCCCTTAGCGGATAGTCCCTCCCACCTTTTTAACTTTGACTCCTATGTCAGCATAGAGCAGTAGCGTAGATATTAACCAGGCACCCTGAAAGTACCTCTGCCCAATATACAGAAGTTCCATCCTTCAAAACTCCAAACCGCCTATGCTGTTTTCCTTGCTGTTTTTCCTATGAAAAGTAGGGTTACGCTGTTAACCCTTCGAGCTTTTCTAGTTCTTCCCTTAACATTGCTATAGTTATTCAGTTGTAGGGAATACTTTGAAAACAGGTAGGCCAGTTGGCAGTAAATTCACTATTAATTGCTAGTAGAATAGGGTTACCAGTGGGAGCAGTACGTGTTAGGCTCCCAGCAAGTTACCCAATTGAAATATAAATTTTCTGGGTTACACGTTGAAATATACCCACCGGAATAGATATTGTACTGAAGGTATTCACTCGGCTTTCGGAGCTGGGCGTATGATGCAAATTTATCGGGAATGTTTTCAGAAGCTCTTCATGCATCGCTAGATCAAGGTGGAGCATCTCTCCTGGAAGTAATTCGCTTAAAATCCTCTTTTCTTTATAACAAAAACATTTTTTCGGAATGTGTGCTGCTGGTTTTCTGCTTGGGTTCGTCCCTCTCAAGGTCCCGTGCCTTCAATGTCCACGATGGGAGACGAGCAGTAGCATCCATTTGTGTAGTCGATTCGTCGCGCGTGGCAGTCGCGGACCATTGGCCTCATTATTACAGTAGTAGCGTTCTTCATACAGCTCGATGGCTATGCGATTATTACTTATGACATGATTCTACTGTTACCCTAAAATTCCATAGGTAAGAGCGGTTGACACTACCGGTGAAAAATGAATTGGAATGAAATTGAAATTGAATGCAGTCAC